GGACACCCCAATAAAACTGAGGTACTCAATGCCTTCTTTGCCTCAGTCTTCACCAACATGATCTCCCAGGCCTCTGATTAGAGAAAGTTTTCAGAGGAGAACTGCCAACAGTGTGTAAGGATCAAGTCAGGGTTTACATGACAACTGAGCCCATATAAGTTCATAGAATCAAACCGGCTGCATCTAAAAGCACTTATAGAACTGGCTGATGTCCTTGTAAGGCCACTCTATACAGTCTTTGAAAAGTCATGGTGATCAGGGAAGGTCCCTGACAAATGGAGACAAGCAAATGTTTGCAAAAGAGACCAAAAGGACAGCTTGGGGAACCACAGGTTCATCGGCCTCACTTTGTTCCCTGAGAAAATAATGTAAAAAGTCCTCTGAGAAAACATTTCTGGGCATGTGAAGGATTAGGTGGTGGCTGGTAACTGTAAGCATGGATTAATCAAGTGTAAATTATGCCTGACCAATCTGTTTGCCTCCTATAATAAAATGACTGGTTTCACAGACCAGTGGAGAATGGTAGATGCCATTTACATCGATTGTAGGAAGGCTTTCAACATTGTCACAAAATATTGTCAACGTACATGTTTCGACACTACAGTCTGGATGGATGGACAACTAGATGAGTTAAAAAGTGGCTAATGCTCAGAAGGTAACAAATACATTGTACTGTATCTGGTGGTCAGTAACAAACAAAGTACCACAGGGGCCTATCCTGGAACCTGTTTTTTGTTTCTAAGTATCTTTGGCAGTGACTTGGTGACGAAAACTCATGCTCATCAGGTTTGCAGCTGACACCAAATTGGATGGAACAGTCAATATGCTTGAGGGCAGAGCTGCCATGAAAAGATACCTCTAAACAGACGGCAGGCACAGACTGACAGGAACCATATGAAAATCAACAGGACGTGCAAAGTCTTAGAAAGGGATAACCCCTTGCAATGATACAGGCTGGGGAGCAGCTCTGTGTAAAAGAACCTGGGAGCCTTGGTGCATGTTCAGCAAGCTAACCATGAGCCAGGAGTGTGCCTTGGCAGCAAAGAAGGCCAACAATATCCTTGGCTGCATCAACAGTAGCATAGCCAGTAGTCTGAGGAATGTGATTATTCCTCTCTAATCAGCACTCGTTGGAACAAATTTAGTATACTGCATCCAGTTTTAGGCCGCCCAGTCCAGGAAAGACACTGATAGACTGGAGCAAGTTCAGCAGAGGGCTGCCAAGATGGTCAAGGAGGCATGCCCTCTGAGAGGCAGCTAAGGGAACAATTGTTCAGCCTGGAGAGAAGAAAGCTTAAGGGGACCTACTAACAGCTTTCCAATACCTACAAGAAGGTAACCAAGAAGATGAAGCCAGGCTCCTCATGTTGACAGTTATGGAAGGAAAAGAAGCAAGGGGCATAAATTGAAACAAAAAAGGTCCCAACTCAATATGGGGGCGGGGAGGGAGGGAGGGAATAAACTTTTCACCATGAGGACGCTGAAGAGGGAGATTAAAAACCTCCAAAGATAGAGACTGCACAAAGCTTGACTGGATAAAGCCCTGATTAACCTACATTGACCCCATAATTGACCCTGCTTGGAGCAGAATGTGGGAGTGAAAATTTCCTGATGTTCCTTCCAACTGAAATATTCTATGATCCTAAGTTTAAGGAGACCTATAGACAATGCTTTGCACACATTTGCACAACTTTCCAGCCACTTTAGAACACAAAACTCCAGGACTGCAAGAATGCTATCCAATTAACTCAGACATTCAGCACACGACCAGATAAAGTCTCATATGCTTTCTCTCCTGAAATACTACTGTATCTCCAGATGCAATCACGGCTTCACAAAGGCAACACAAATGAAGCAGCATTTTCCTTGTCAAGGGAAAGCTCAGTGCAGTAATCCACATGCATGACCAAGTCAAGCTGTGTAACTTCTACAATCGACTGTAGAAGACCGCTCACGGACCTGAGATGAAGAAACACTCCAAAGCATCACACAATGTGTTGAACGAAAACAAAGCTAACTTCAGATTTAAACAGCTGCTCATGTGAGCTGTGCAATAGTGTCACCTAGTGGTCAGCGCTTACAGCGAAGACAGGGCCCACTTGAAGCAGAAAATTTAGTGCTCATCTACCAATTCTGCTACTCCGCAAAATCAATGGGGACTTTTAAAGTATATGTATGTATACACACACACATCTATATGAACCAACAAGTGCAGTAACCAACAAGACAAATGCCTTTCCATTATTCAATTTTGTCACACGTGCCTTTTACAAACTTGAAAAAAGTCATCCCAGAAATAGAGTAAGTTCTGTCTGGTCTAAGAGAAAAGGATTTCCAGAACGATGGATTAGTACTGCACTTTTTCATTTATATCAGAAGAGAGTTTCCAGATCCTCAGATGTATAATAATCATACACTTCACTAACAAATACAACATTGATATGTTTCTTGTCAAGAAACAGGCACAAGAAGCAGAATATCCAAACTCTCTATTTACTACATAAACAGTGTCCAATTCTTCTATGTACAGAATCTGTAAACAGTTTTAAGGTTAGAAGTTTTACAGCATTCTGAAACTTTAATATTCATGCTACTGATTCTTGAAAGATTAGTGATTTCTTCTAATCTTAGATATCTGGAGAATGAGGAGAGGCAAACTTGAACTATTTCAAAATGCCAGAGATTTGTAAGAATGTTCGTTCTGCTCAGTGAAAACACCTTGAAACTACCAAAGTTCATTATATCTTTCTGTTTCTCCTGCTATCAGGTCTGCTTAACATTTTGTGCCACATTTGAATCAAATCATCATAGTTAAATTTTCACTCTGACAGCTTTCCCTTCCCTCACCTCCTCTACTGTTCAGTTTCTTAGCCGAATGACTCGGGGATGAGAAACACATTTTTGTTATTCTCCACAGGCATCCTGGTTTGGCTGGGATAGAATCATAGGCCATCCATTAGCAGTTTCAAGCCAGTGAGGGCAGCTGACCCGAGTTAACTACAGGTGTAGCCCATACCATAATGTCATGCTCATTATAAAGGGAGGAGGCTTAGTGAGGAGAGGAGGCTCCTGTGAGGTTCCTCCTGCTTCTGCTGAGGACTACTCTGATGACAGCATATTCATTTGGCTAAGTATTTTCTGTTTGTACTAGTGGTGGTTTCATTAAATCTGTTGTACTTCCACCTACAGGTCCTCTCTCCTTTTTCCCAGTTCCCCTTCTCAGCTGGTGAGAATTCATCAGATGATGGAGTGACTTATGTTTAGGCCTGGGTACAGGCTAAATGTAGATAATAGGTTAACAGATATTTGGTTCTACCATATCTCCTGCTATGTTCAAAATATTCTTAAGCACATCCCATCCCTGTCCAAGAACTTCAATTTGGTTTCTAGGTTTCCAAAGCAAAGGAACTTTACTCAGGCAGATGAAGGAAGCCTTTTTTCAACATATGTTCTACAATACACAATAACAAGGCATTTATTTGGCTACTTTGTATTTTACACAAGCTCAAGTTTCATAAGATCTCCACTGTAACAAGATGAAACTGAAGTAACAGACTTCTAATCATTAAGTGAACAACAAAAAGTACTGCATTTTTCTTTTGGCAGAGCAAATACTGAGACCTGTTTTTTGCAGCTTGACTAATCTCTACATCAGACAAACACCAATACTGCAGATATGTCCTGTTTGCTCATAGATTTCTCAGCAGGCTTCTAAAGACTAAGCAACTGAAACTTTTGCTGCATTGTTGTTGTTTTTTTTTCCTCTGCTCTTTAGATTGCAGTAGTAACAGAACTAGAGAAATTTCTTGTGTAGAAGAATCTTCTGGAATTCAAAACTGTCACATCACAGCCAGAGCATACAGACAGCCCTCACTCATATTGCTTACCAAATACTTAAGAAAAATACCTTTTGGTTCACCAATGTTTTGACCCCTGTAGTTTCTAAGCTATATGCTAATCCTATAATATTTGAGAACTTCAGCATACTAATGAAGATTCTTTCAAAGACAGCCAACTGATTGGTATATTTCTATGAGTACTGAGCTACAACATAGGTACATATATAAAAAGAACAGCAGTATTTTTCCTTGGGAGGTTATAAAGCCTATACAGAGTACAAGAGATACTAGACACACCAGAGTACAGCCAGCTTCCATTCTTGGTCAGTGATACGACCAGCAACATCTATGTATATACATGCAACCTAATGTGTGGATTAGACTCAATTCAAACTAAAAAAAACAACTTCTTTAGTTTCAAGCACAGAACTATTACAGCTGGTTCACTAAAGTTGCGTATAGAAAAATTAGTGATTATAAATGGAAAAAATGACTAACTTCTATAATGGTTAAGGATATTTCTCTTCTCTATGTGCTAATGCCAGCACTCACCAATTCAAATTCCTATGTTACACTCATATTTCTCTGTAATTAATCTCACATTTGTAAGTCCATCCAAAAGACTAGCTGGAGGTCTTCAAAAACATTAAAAAAATCAGCAACTTCACCAGAGCCTTCCTAAGAAATAATTTTTATGCTTTGCTTATGTAGTTAAAAAAAAGAAAAAAGATTTTAAAAAAAAGAAAGGCTAAATAACCATTGTTATTAGTCAGCAGCAATAAAGACTCCTTTTTTATAAGGGTATATACAACGAAATGACAAAAATTAAGTAATCAATGACCAAGAAGTAAATCGCATATCAGTTTATGCACTTACCAGACCCACAAGATTGAAATCTCTGGAGGTTCATTTACAACTAGGGAACTAATGAAATAGATTGATTTGATAAAAATCTAATACAAAGAATAACTTCAAAAATCTATAAACTTACCCTCATTGTTTTTCAAATATTTATATTTTCTAATGAGGTTTAAGTTGTAAACATTTACTCTGAATTATTAAATAGGTAAATGATTAGATTTTCTTTCATTCTCCTTCCCAAGACACATGCACAAGAAAAAAAAAGGTGCTTAGCAAGACAAATATAACAAATTCTGTTACCTTGGATTTGAGATTTCCCCAACAATTTCTTGCAGCTTGTCAATAAAATTAACAAAGTTTGAAAGCCCCTTTACATGGATTTTTAAAGGATCAAATAATGAAGATGCACAGCCTCTTCCTCCAAGTTCTATGGTTCGGATAAAAGATGTTGCTATCTATTAGGAGAAATATTCAGATATACAAAACTGTAGTTTGTACTACACAAAAATGTGGACATAAAATATACACATGTTAAAGTGAGCCTCTCCTACAGATTTGCAAACAGTGTATAACAGCTGGCTGACAGCAGAAATAATTCGACTGAAATCAATAGAATACCTCTTAACAGCAAGCTTTGTACATCTCACCATAAATATTTGCAAGATCAATACTCAAACAGTGCAGCAGTATAAAAAGAAACCACAAGCCAAAGCAAAGAATGACCCAGCTAATTTGATATTTACATTGGCCTCTTGACAGCTTAGAAAAAAAATTTATTAACACAGGGTATAGAACTTTTTTTGGTTGTTGCTGCTGTTTAAATGCTCATGCTGACCTCACATAAACTACTCTGAATATAAGAGGGCTGTCTATGACCCAAGAACAATTTTAACATAAGCATGTAAATGTTAATGTCAGTAGTGTATTTCTTTTTCAGAGGTGCAAATAAAAACAATGTATACTCAAAGCTTCTGAGAAATTATGACCGCTAAGACTTCTATCATCAGGTACTGAATTCTGAAAGTTTCCATGTAGTTTTATATAAGACCTTAAAACCAAGAGATGTCCCCAAAAGAATACACCTTAGAGGACAATCCCTCAAATTTTAAGGCAACGGAATAAAAAGCTTAGCAGGTCCCCAGAAAGATGAAGGTAAAGATACAATCCATTAGGGTTGGCACAGATGCAGTAATATTAATTCTAAGTATAAATTTTAGTTTCAGACTACACAGCTAAACCATAAAGCTCTCGGGACTGGAAAGAATACAACTGGAATTACTCTAGCAAAGAAAGTAAACCTGCCAGTATTCCTGCCGTTGTGCTATAGATTTCCTGTGGATCCAGTACAGTTCGTAGGACTTTGCCTTCCCAATAGAAAATATTCTGGCTTTGCAAGATTTCTACAAGACACAGATGCCAGAAAAGACAACTTCTTTACATGGTAGAGAAATTTCCCCTCTGGCAACTGTGAGGAAGGGGTAATAAATCCAGTCCAAACACATACTTTTTTTTTTTTAATACAATGTTAACAGAGCATTAGGAGATAAAATAATTCTGGAACTGAGATTTCACAAATTTTCCATACTTATTCAACCATAGAAATCTGAGAATGCAGCTGCCTCAGTGACTGTTACATATCCACACTGTTTTTCCTTGGTCTGCTGTTGTCTGCACTGAGGCAACTGTGCATGCAAAATTTGATTATTTTGAATGAGGGACTACATTGGTTCTTTGGAGAAAGAATTCTTACTCATTTTATTTCAACTATTTTTGAGATGGCTCTGTGCTGACTACAACTACTGTAAGTATAAATGCACCTCACATACAAAACTAGATTCTTTAGCAGCAAGCCTCTCTGAGCACTGCAGTTGCTGTAGCTTTTTATATTGCTATACAAGGGCATTGAGGAAAGATTGTCTCAAGGGTGTTTATTTCCCTGAGAAAACAATGAGCAGAAATGTCCCCTATCAAACATATCTTCAAGAGTATTGCAAGACTGATCAAGCTGGAAATGACTGGAAAGTATTACCCGCCCCAAATCCTGAGTCAAAGTTGAAAAAACGGCAACACTGCCCTTTCAAATCTTGGCCTCTGTTCTAGTGTACATGTCAAAGGCAGGGTTCTGTCACGAGGTTGCCCTAAGAAAAGTAGTTTGTACACAGAAATACTTTAGATTCCAGATGTCTTAACAGATGCACAGAAAAATGCTGGTTTACTATTTAACCAAAATACTAACAAACAGCACTTTAAAATTGAAACACATAATAATGCATTGTTAGTGGCTTGGTTTTGTTAATGTTCGTACTGCTTTGTGATATTTATTCAACCTAACCTCATTGCTGTATTGGGTTTCCATGGCAAGGTTTTGGCAGGCGTTGGGTGGAGGGCTACAGGGGTGGCTTCTCTGAGAAGCTGCTAGAAGCTTCCTCTGTGTCCAATAGACCCAATGCCAACCAGTTCCAACACTGGTCAAGGCCGAGCCCATCAGCCCAACAGTGGTAGCACCTCTATGATAACATATTTAAGAAAGGGGAAAAAAACCCCAACAACTATGCAACAGCAGCCAGAGAAGAGAGAAGTGAGAATATGCGAGGTCAACTCTGAAGGCACCAAGGTCAGTGAAGAAGGGGGAGGAGGTGCTCCAGGTGCCAGAGCAGAGATTCCCCATGGTGAAGCATGTGGTCCCCCTGCAGCACATGGAGATCCAAAGTGGAGCTGATGTCTACCTGCAGGCTGTGGAGGACCCCATGCCAGAGCCTGGAGAAGGCTATGACCCCACGGGAAGCCTATGCTGGAGCAAGCTCCTGGCAGGACCTGTGGACCCATGGAGAGAGAAGCCCAGGCTGGAGCAGGTTTGCTGGCAGGATTTGTGCCCCCATGGAGGACCCACACCGGAGCAGTCTGTTCCTGAAGGACTGCACCCTGTGGAAGGGACCCACACTAAAGCAGTTTGTGAAGAGCTCCAGCCCCATGGGAAGGACTCACATTGGAGAAGTTCATGGAGGACTGTGTTCTGTGGGAGGGACCCCATGCTGGAGAGGGGAAGAGTGTGCATGGGAATAGTGTGAACAGCAGAGACAACATGTGATGAACTGACCCAACCCTTGTTCCCCATCCCCCATGCCACTGGAGGAGGAGGGAGGTAGAGAATTCAGGAGTAAAGTTAAGCCCAGGAAGAAGGGAGTGGTGGGGAGGAGGGTGTTCTAATATTTGGAGTTTTTCTCATTACCCTACACTGATTTGCTTGGTAATAAATTAATTTTTCTTCAAGTCAAGTCTGTTTTGCCTGCAACAGTAATTGCTGAACCATCTTTTCCTGTCCTTATCTTGACCTATGAGCGTTTCATTATATTTTCTCTCCTCTGTCCAGCTGAGGAGAGGAGCAATAGAGTGGCTTTGTTGGGTACCTGGTCCCCAGGCAGGGTCAATCCGCCACAATTACTTTTAGAGATATTCAGTAAGCAGCAACATCTAGTCTAATGCCATCTTGTCTTTTTTCTTTGATAGGCATACTCATTACTCACTTGACATCATTTAGCAAGATTTCAAAAATTTAAAAGGAATAATAAACATGAATACAAGATATACCTTTTAAGATAGTAAACTTTTTCAGGATTTCATTCATCATTTGGCATGATCAGTTTTGACGCCTCTTTTTACAATATCATTTTAGAGCTCTAGAGGTACATATGTACACAACTATTTTTCTACGCATCTTTGGATCTCATGATCAAGCAAGCACTTATTCCTTCACATAGAATCTCTGTTGTGTCTTTTTAAACCTAGAAACCATGTTTATGGTGGTATTTGACTTTGCTTCAAATGTCAGCCTTGCATACGAGCTTAAAGCAACACTTAATGTTTATAGATCTACTTCATCACCTCTAATCTACAGCATATTGTATTTGACACATACCAGGAAAATTGACATTTTTCTCTTCTGTGAGGCATGTTTTAGGTTAGTGAAGGCTTCTCTACCAAGTCCTCTGTCAGGAACATTTAGAATATGAGCCAATGCCAGATCATCCTTGGAATTCACCAACACGCTTAAATACGAACAAATAAATTTTTTTGCCAGGACTGCCACCTGTATAAGAAAGCACCACACAAATTGGTCATCCTGCTGCTAAATTAAGTTCCTTTTTTTAAAAAAAGCTAATTAGATATGTACGGATATGATTTTTGCAAGAGTAAGAATTTCAAAGCGCTATTTTATGTGTGGGGATTCTGGAAGTATTGACAAAAGCAAGCATGAGTAATATGTTAAAATTGCATATATTGTACTTAAATATTCACAAAATATTTGATCGCTGGATCTCTAGCTATTAAAATTTGCTACCAATTACAACTTAGGTATCTCTTAACAGATATTCCTCTTCTACCCCAAGGCAAAATACTAGCACCATTAAACCACACAAGTATTTGTCATTAACTTCAGATAGGCTAAGATTTTAAACGACTTGCCAGATCTGTGCCAGATCTAGTAATTTTTCCCTTGGCTTTCAGGGGTTTTCAATCACAGAAACTCCACTGATTGAGTCTGGACACAAATTGTGACCCAGGGCCACCCACGTAACCAAAACATAACATTGTAATTGCTTATATTGCAGCACTGTTCCAGACCCTGTAAGAACAACAGTCCCAGAACTGAAGAATTCACAGTTTTGTCACAAGCAAAGACCAGACCAAAAAAAAGGCAATTAACAAAAGGAAAGATATTGAGAAAACCCATATTTGCTGCAGAAATTACTCTCATTCAGTGGGATGTAAACAACAAAAATGTAGCCAGTAAAAAAAAAAAGTATGTGTGACAGTCTGAAAAGATAGATTTAAGAGAAAGAAAAAAAAGGCAAGGAATATTTTTGTTAGTGGTAGAAGTGCTGTCTGGGTGAGAACCTTAGTTCAGAAAATACTTTCCTGTTCAGAAATATTTGGAGTTGTACCCAAATAATAAATTAAAATTGCTACTTATGAGAAAAGCAAGTTAGAAACTACTAAAGCTACAGCATTTCAAGCACTGTTATACAGTATTCTGAGATTCTTGTTTTGACAATTGAAAGGGTAAAAGGAAAGAATCTAGTATTCCCAGAAAGTCAAGTCCTCCACTGGGATAGACAAACCTCGTCTGCTTTGCTACAGCTACCACTACAGTGGCTATTCAGATTTCTTCTGTATGTAAGGGAGTACAAGCTAATAAAATGAAATCAAAGAAGTTTACTCACCTACCATTTCACTTTGCAGCACTGGGCAAATCATTTAACTCTTAGTCAAGACAATGTTTGAGTGACAGTGTACTTGTAGAAAAATTCATTCCCTGGTGTTTCAAGGCAGATTAAAGCTACATCAAGTGCCTGCCATAAAAGGACTATCTTCCAGAATATAATTTCTGCAATTAGCCACATACATACACCTACAATATGCTAAGACACAGTGTTTGAACACATATCTTCTGTTTTTTTAAAAAACAGCAACATTTTAATACCATTAACTAGAAAAGGAAACAATGTTATATTTCATCTTTTCAATATATACAGAACACTGCAAAAGAAACAGAAATAATTTTTACCTTCACATCCTCCTGGCCCTGTCTATTTAGTGGTGTAGAAGGAGCAGGAAGAGAACCATTATTTTCTTGTACATTCATTATGCCAGAAATAAATTCCAATAGTTGAACCTTTAATAAAAAGATTAGAATAAACTTAAGTATGAAGATGATTAGAAAGCAAAAGTGGTATTAAAACCTGGTGAAACTATGTCTCTGCCAGTGCTAATGTTTTAGCAGCACTTAGCCCTTTAGCGTAGGTTAACGCAGCCCTTATAGTCTACTTTACAAATGTTTTAGTAGAGAAATGAGGTATAAGATTAATTTAGAGAACATATCTCAAACAGTCATGAAATACACTGGCACTAAAAGCAGATGCTTATGTTTTGTACAACATTTAGTATGTTATACCATGTTCAGGAAGAGCTCATTAACACACCCAAGTTCTCGATCTTCCCCATGAAAACAGGAAGAATTTTTTTTTTTAAATTGCTTTTTCCATCACTTCCTGAACTTCAGTTGTCCTTATAATCTCTTTTGTGCCTAATAATCACATGGGTGTTTGACTGTAGGCTCTCTGAACCTTTAAGGAAATAGGGAAGCTGGTTACAAGCATTCTTGTCATAGAATCATATAATAATTTAGGTTAAAAGGGACCTGTAAAGATCTAGTACAAATCTGTGGTTGAAGCAGCACCAGTTTGACCAGGTTGCTCAGTGATATGCTGAGCCAAGTTTTTAGTACCTCCAAAAATAAGATTACACATCCTTTCTGGGCAACCTATTCCAATATTTGACCACTTTTTCATGGACAAAGCTTTTTGTTCTTACTAAGGCTGGAAAGTAAAGAGTTTTAATTATGCTATAACTAGTAATTCATGGTATGTTCATAATATACCTCAGTTCAACTAACGTTCAGTTACTGATATAGCTTCCCTCATTAAAATAGCCATCTAATTAAACATACATCAAATTCAGAAGATGAAATAAACAGCAATTTGTTTAAGTCGGCAATGCTGGGAGTGGGCAGTAAAAGCAGACAATTACCTCCTCTAATTTTCATTACAAGCTGGAAGTACACGCATCTAAATGCAACATTAATTTTTTCAGTAGCAATAGAATTTGTCTTTTGACCTTTCCATGCTCTAGAGAGCACAGAATCAAATAAAATCACGTGGAATGCTTGTGTTCCAAACTTAATTTCTACTTACATATATTTTTATCTAATAACAGAGATTAATCAAATTCATTTGTTACAGACTTTCATAATCTAAGAATGGAATATACACTAGACTAGCCTGGAGCATGGCCTCACATGCAGTGTCACAATATCTGAACTGCAATAAACTGCAACAGAGCTGCTGACTGAGTGGCTGAAGAGGAACCTCTTCTGGTTTCTGGAAAAATCTGGCATGGAACTACATGTAGTATAGGGAATTTATTGCTTTTAAGAGCAAGGTATTTTTAAAATGATAACCATTAAAAATATTTTGACTGTATATCAACATAAAACCAAAGCTCCATGACATGTGTTAATCACTAAGCTTTGTTCCAGTCTTATCAAATCTCTACAGCTCATTTTTCAGTTCCATCTCTAGCAAAGAGGGATATACTCACAGAAGAGCTGTGGGACCCACCTATCCAGCAGGACAACAGAAAGAAATAATTTTTGAATTAATTTAAGCTCTCTTTAAAAGATTTAGTACTTTAAACTTTCCTAATAGAAGAGCAAAGTAAGTTGTGAATAATTCAGAGCTCCTGTGTATATTTAGAAGTGTCATAAATCCGTAACTGGAATCAAAAATGTCAAAACAATATCAGCGCTAAAACAAACAAAATACTTACAGGGGCTAGGCTTTCATCTTCAGATAGAAGTCCAAGTCCACAGCACTTCTGATACACATCTATTAGATCCAACATACTGCTTCTTGCCAAGGAGGCATGATAGGCTTTTTTTAGGTCAGTATAATTTTCCGGTTCTTTCATGTTTTCGTATGATAATCCCAGTTTGTCATGTAACAAATATTTCCAAGTTTCCAACACATCACTAAGTGATACTGTGAAATCTCCATGGTGCTAATAGAACAGAAAAAAACAAAAATGTATGTTTTGTATTCAGCATAGCTTTAAAAATTACTTTCAAACAAGCTGCATATATTTTTTTAAATTATTATCATTTCAATATTTACATTTATTATAAACACAGCCTTACTCATAGTTGAAGTTCTTCCAGCGCTTTCCCTTTACAGCTGACTTTTTGTTATATGCAGTATTTGTTACTAATCTTTAAAATACCAGGTATGTATATTGAACTTTACTCATCAGGAAAGACATATCAACTTTTGCAGGACTACTGCTGACATATTTAATTTTATATATTTTATATTTATTTATCAATATAAATATTTTCTATTTATTTATTCTTATATTCTCATGACTGGAGTGCTGCAATGGATGGCTATAAGCTCTTCCGCAGGTTTTTTAGAGGCAGTGGGGTGGCTTTGTACATTAGGGAGAGTTTTGATTGTGTCGAGCTTAACAATCGTGAGGACAAGGCCGAGTGCTTATGGGTAAATATGAGGGGGTAGGCCAACGAGGCAGATATTCTGATGGGAGTCTGTTATAGACCATCCAACCAGGATGAAGAGGCAGATGAGGCATTCTACAAGTGGCTGGGAGAAGTCTCAAAATCACTAGTCCTTGTCCTCATGGGGGTCTTCAACTTACCAGATGTCTGCTGGAAATAAAACACAGAAGAGAGGAAAGAGTCCAGGAGGTTCCTGGAGTGTGTGGAAAGTAACTTCCTCACACAGCTGGTGAGGGAGCCTGCCAGGGGGAGGTGCCTTGCTTGACCTGCTATTTACAAACAGAGAAGGACTGGTGGGAGACGTGGTGGTCAGAGGGCGTCTTTGTACTTAGCAACCATGAAATGATAGAGTTCTCTATTCTTGGTCAAGTTAGGAGGAGAGTCAGCCAAACCACAACCATGGACTTCTGGAGTGCAGACTTTGGCCTGTTCAGGACACTGGTGGAGAGAGTCCCTTGGGAGACAGTCCTGAAGGGAAAGGGGGTCCAGGAAGGCTGGACATTCTTCAAGGAAGAAGTCTTAAGGGCGCAGGAGCAGGCTGTCCCTGTGCGCCATAAGACAAACTGGTGGGGAAGACAACCAGCCTGGCTGAACAGAGAGCTTTTGCTGGAAGTCAGGGGAAAAAAGGAGGGTTTACCACTCTTGGAAGAAAGGACAGTTAACTCAAGAAGAGTATAGGGATCATGTTAGGTCATGCAGAGAGAAAATTAGAGAGGCAAAAGCGGAACTAGAACTCAATCTGACCACTGTCACGAGAGACAACAAAAAAAGTTTCAACAAATACATTAACAACAAAAAGAGAGCCAAGGAGAATCTCCATTCTCTATTGGATGCAGAGGGGAACATTGTCACCAAGGATGAGGAAAAGGCTGAGGTACTTAACGCCTTCTTTGCCTCAGTCTTTGAGAGTCAGACAAGCTGCCCTCGAGGAAATCAGCCCCCTGAGCTGGAAGAGAGGGAGCAAGAGCAGAATAAACCCCCCATAATTAAGGAGGGAGCAGTTAAAGACCTGCTTTGCCACCTGGACATTCATAAGTCTATGGGGCCAGATGGGATCCACCTGAGAGTACTGAGGGAGATGGCTAAACCACTTTCCATCATTTACCAGCAGTCCTGGTCAACAGGGAAGGTCCCAGATGACTGGAGGCTTACCAATGTGACATCCACATACAAGAAGGGCCAGAAGGAGGATCCAGGGAACTACAGGCCTGTCAGTCTGACCTCGGTACCAGGGAAGATTATGGAGGAGTTGACCTTGAGGGCACTCACACGGCAGGTGCAGGACAACCAGGGACTCAGGCCCAGCCAGCATGGGTTCACAAAGGGTAGGTCCTGCTTAATCAACCTGATCTCCTTCTATGACCAGGTGACCCACTTAGTTGATGAGGGGAAGGCTGTGGATGTCATTGTTGGAACTAGATGATCCAACCCAAACCATTCTACGGTTCTATGATTCTATGATTTGCAGAATTAGTTTGCAGCATGGTAGGCATTCACATCACAAAGGCAGTAAATACAGCTCTATTACCTTGCTTCAAACAGTGATCTCGGAAAACATATGCCATGTCAAAAAAAGAAAGAGTTCATTTTCCTGTGTTTGTACAGTTATACTTTAACATAACATTGATGGTGTTGTTACATAGATCTAACAAACACATTAAAGCAATGCACACCTATCCATTGCTAGTAGCATAACTAACATTAACTATACAGTACAGGCTACAATCTTATACCTGGCTTCTGGCCCACTCCCCCTGTCAAAATTATAAGATTACATTCCATGTGCCCCTCTGCCTTCTCCCCAGCCTCCAAAAAGGAAAAAGGAATTACAGTTTATCAGAAAATTAGCAGAATTAGAGATTACAAAGAGTTAATTTAAAAGAGCAAATAAAGTGGGTAAATGACAACAAATACATCAGTAGCAAAATAACTAACAGCATTTTATTAGCAATGGAAGAACCTTTTCCCATTGTAGGCAAAAAATAAAATCCAAATTTATCACAAAGTAACTTAAGAGGCTTGTATCACAGTTAGAAGTCCCTTTCCTCTTTCCAACTCGAGAGGAGTGCTCTGTTGTCCTTTGCTGGACAGAAGTAGAAAATGTATCAACAGGAATGACTAAAATCATGTTTAATTTACATATTAATTTATCATTTTTTTTTCAAAGGATTTACATCACAGTAGGGACATCTGTTATTACTACACTTATATGTAGGGGTATATTAAGCAATCATGCCTAAGCACTACTTAGAAGAGTGAACACTTAATTGTAAAACAATAAGCTTGCAGTTTTGTTGTGCAGTTCTAAACTAAAAGGAAAAAGGGAATAAATTTTTTAAGAAAAGTTATCTCTATGTGGGAGAACAGAAGAGACTAAGAATGAGACAGACTGTATGTAGTCCATAACGCTACTTGTAATGTCATTTACAAAGCAGAAGTAACTAAAGAACCGAAGTTGTTGGCAAACCTGGCATGGTTGGAGGTTACAAGTACAGCAGCAGGGCACAAATGGCAAACAAAAATGTGAAAGTGTCACAGCAGATAGGAACAGATAGTGGAGCTGGAATTCACAGAAACTTTAAAACAAGCCAAGTAAGCCCTGTTATTTGAGTCACAAACTGAGCGATGCATTACCAAAGGAAGTAGGATGCAAGCCAGCTACCATCCAGTTGTATCAGTAAGAACATAGAAGAGAGCAGTTATTGCTGCACTCTAAAAAAAAAATAAATAATTAGGTACAAAATCCTATTTGTTTAACCCCTAACATTCTCTTTTTCACTTTTAGTAAAGTACTGGTTTTTCAAACCAATACTTTCGCAGTTCAGGGTGGAGCAGATTGAGGAGGTCAGAAATCAGCTCACCGAGTATCAGACATTTTAATTAAGTTTTCTGGTTCAGCACGGGGGTAAACTGCAAGAAATCTGAGCCAGTCTCTAGTGGCTGCTAATAAAGGACATGAGTGTGTTGTCAATGGTTAAAGACTGCAACACTGAGGAAACCAGAAAATTGGTTTCAATCCCTGTAAACCAAGCCTTGCACCCGAAGAAAGAATTGCATTAAGATGCTACTTGTATAAGTGAAAATACATAGTAGCAGAGAATTCTGCTACTAATTACACTGAGCTAAAGGTAACAGAGACAAAACACGGGGTTTGGGATGCAGGATTACGTACGTATTTCTGGCACATGTAATTCAGAATTTAGTCCTTTATTCACTAATTTCTTGTAAGCCTGTTTTTCATCTCTTGACAACTGACCCTGGACTTTACTCCTGTACTGTTCTCCACGTTTCCAAAATTCCAGCTATGAGTTGCTAGTCTCCCCACACACCCATACCTTACCATATTCTGTGCCGGTTTTCACTTTGCTCCCAAATCATCATGTCTTGTCCATCGCAATCTCAGTTTTTTTTATAGCCATGTTTACTGCAGACCTTTCCATAATACCATACTCTCCACATCTTCCAAATGCCAACTTCCCCACCACCATTTCATCTTTCCCCTGAATTCTGTGACTTCCTTACTATTTGGTCGTACCCCCTTCTCTTTCACAATTAGCCTCCTCATTTTCATCCACACCCTGCTCTTAGATCTACATACCAGTCCCCACTTCATGCTGCTAAACTTTTTCAGCTGAGGTCCTTCTATTTGAGTTAGACCTCAGAATACATGCAGCAAGTAATTTTGCAACTGTAGCAAATTTTCCAGTTTTCAGCAAAGAAACAGAGTTCATACTACTGGTATCTAAAGCATTCCCCAGTATATGGCAGCAAAAAAAGCAGTATTATATGCTCATGTAATTTATTATGTAACATGATATAAATGTCCTGTGACTGAGTGACAAGCCTTGCTTTGTTATGCCAGTATCAGTGGATAACTCCTGTCTAGTGCAAAGTTTTTATTTTATTTTATGAAATTTTCACATTAAGCACCTTTAATCTGGGTAAAATAATTACCCACAAACACCATTAACAACTGAATACAAAACTAAATACAAGAACAGGTCAGGAGCAATTCTAATAATTTGTTCCAGCCCAAAAGATCCCTCCTTAGAGTTCTAGCATACTTAGCACAACTTTCCCGGTAGACCTGGTTAAATATATGATTTAAAAGTCAACTATTTCGGTATTGCCAAAACAAAAAAACTAAGAGTGAAAATGAAAGGGTACTTACTCATGCATATTACTTTCAGAGCACTTTTATGCCTTCTAATTTGTGCAGGATTACAATGAACCATGAACTTGCATGCTATTCCAGAGATTACTAGAATGATCGAATGGCCCATAAGTTTTCTGAAAAGCACTTGTTTTCCATTTCTGCCCCCCAGAAAATTAAACATGTAATCATATTATAACCCAATTTAAACTATCAAGACAGCAGTAGATTAGAGAGAAAAAAAAATTATGTTTTCTCACTTTGTTTTGAAACAAAATCCTCTAGAAGTACCAAGTTAAAGTACAACTTCAGTGTGGTATCTAATAAATCAAAAAC